ACCATGAATAATACAATATTCACAGGTAATCCACTCCAGCAGAGGATTCTTTAGACTACGTTCATTGATAATTGCTACTACTACTACTACTGCTGATCCTACTATTACAACTACTACTATTATTACTACTACTAGTACTGCTACCACTATTACTACCACTACTACTACTACTTTTATGACTACTACTACCACTACCACTATTACCATTTTTATTACCACTGCTACTACCACCACTATTATTATTACTCCTACTACTATTATTATTATTACTACTACTACTACTACATTACTACTACGACTACTACTTCTAGTACTACTACTTCTTTCTTTGCCTTCCCCCGTCCCGATATGTCTTCTGATCTTTTCTGCTTTTCTCTCCCCAAGTTGTAACTTGACAATGATCAAGTTCCAGCAGAACTACTGAGATTTTTTTTGCCTCATTAAAGAATCATGACTTAAAGTGATAAAAAAAATCTGCAGTGGCAAAAGTAAAATACATTAATAATCACGACAATAAAAATAGCACAAAAAAATCAATAAGAACATTAAGAAGAAGAAAAAGAAGAAAGAAGAAAAGGCAGCTACAGGTAATAACTTAGCAGCTAAATATTACTCTTGGCTCTATTCTTCCTATTAAAGATATTATATGTCCATTTGTATGACAAAAATATTTTCTTGACGTCAGGTCAGGGAAGAAATCGCAGGTTATAGCTGTCACAGCCAGACGCGAGCGTTCGCGTGTCGGGGAGTGATACTCGCGCGCTGTAGTAATGCTATGTAACGCGACGTTACAATACAAATTGATGAATAAAATTACATAATTTTGGCCTATAAGCTACTTACGGGATTTTTTTGGGGGGTGGGGGCAGATATAGAGCGAGTATGCAGGTGGGAACTGAATAAAAAATGCTCACTGACTGAAAGGCTGCATGACAAAGTTGATCCCATGTATCAGAAATCTTCCCTGTGAGGATAGACTGAGGCCCTGACTCTGCACTCTCTAGAAAGGCGTAGAATTAGGGGGGATATGATTGAGGTGTATAAATGGAAAATTGGAATTAATAAAGATGTAAATAGCGTGCTGAAAATATCTAGCCTAGACAGGACTCGCAGCAATGGTTTTAAATTGGAAAAATTCAGATTCAGGAAGAATATAGGAAAGTACTGGTTTGGTAATAGAGTTGTGGATGAGTGGAACAAACTCCCAAGTACCGTTGTAGAAGCTAAGACGCTGTGTAGTTTTAAAAATAGGTTGGATAAATACATGAGTGGGTGTGGATGGGTGTGAGATGGACCTGACTAGCTTGTGCTACTAAGTCGGATGCCGTGCTCCTTCCTTAAGTGACATGTCTAACCTCCATAGGTCACGGCATTGGCTTGAGCCTGTGGGGGAATTGGACCTGCGTCGCATGGACCAGTAGTCCTACTGCAGATTCCTTCTTTCTTATGTTCTTATGTTCTTATTGGTAAGCTTGACAGAGGGATACTACAACAACACGAAACAAAGGTGCATTTACAAGGGCATTTCTCTTTCCATGATGCACGCATGTCGTAGTATTGACATAGTTACTTGTTAAACAAAAGTTTGATTCTTGTATATCTTGTTTGATTTTGTTCACATGTTGAAACAAAAGGTTTGATTGATTTTGCTTACATGCTGAGAAAAAGATTTGATTCATATGCTTTTTGCTTAATTTTGCTTAAATGCTTAAAAAAGTGTTGAATTCTTATATTTCTTGCTTGATTTTGTTTACAATTGATTGTGCTTCACTAAATTGGGGTGTATTAACATTTTACAGGAGAGGATACTCATATTTTAGGTCGAGATTTTTTTTTTTGGGGGGGGGAGAGGAGGGGTTTATTTTCAGGGACGGATGAAAAATATTCTTGTATAGAAAGGGTGGGACTCGTGTGTGGTGTTGGTTAGTTGTGTCTGTGTTAATGTTTAGTTGATTGAATTATGTGTCTGTGTTTTGTGATGTTTACAGGCAGTGTAGTTTGTCTCACAACAGAGAATCATAAGGCCGGGCTCAGGAACTGCACCTCATATCCTTGTTATCTAAACTGACACATCTTCCTTTCTCTGCTATCAAATTTGCTTCTTCCTCGCACTAAGCGTTTCTTCTCCCCTCTTTCCTTAGCCTTTCCATTTCTGCATCTCGTTCTCCATTGCCCTCTTGCTTCTCATTGCCTCCTTTCTCCCTCTCTCCTATGACACCCCCTATTACACCCTTTCCCTGCTGCTGCTACTACTACTAGCACAGCTGTCTGCCAGCACTTCTCAGTGTCGACAGAGCTGTCGCCCGAGAAGGTAGGTGGAGATTACGCGCTCCCCACCTGGACCCCTGAACGGCGTGGCTGGCAGTATCTTCCGCGGGACTCTGGTGCTTCCCAAACATACTCTGTATAAAACTGTATTGATCCACCTGCTTTAGTTTTATATTAGTGATAGCGATACGAAGTTTTCGTGTTTCCGAGAAATACCTCACTGGCATTGAAGGTAAGTAATTAACAACCAGTATAATTCTTTGTATATGACTGTGTCCACTGCTAGTAACCATATGTATATATATATATATATATATATATATATATATATATATATATATATATATATATATATATATATATATACTATATATATATATATATATATATATATATATATATATATATATATATATATATATATATATATATATATATATATATATTATATATTATATATATATATATACATAAGCAGAAGTGTTATAAGAAGAGCAGAATATATGGAGAGTAAAAGAAAAATGAAGAGAGTGGTGAGAGAGTGCAAAAGGAGAGCAGATGATAGTCAAGAAATTTTAATGAAAATAAGAACAAATTTTGGAGTGAGTTAAACAAGTTAAGAAAGCATAGGGAAAGTATGGATTTGTCAGTTAAAAACAGAGTAGGGGAGTTAGTAGATGGGGAGATGGAGGTATTAGGTAGATGGCGAGAATATTTTGAGGAACTTTTAAATGTTAAGGAAGAAAGGGAGGCGGTAATTTCATGCACTGGCCAGGGAGGTATACCATCTTTTAGGAGTGAAGAAGAGCAGAATGTAAGTGTGGTGGAGGTACGTGAGGCATTACGTAGAATGAAAGGGGGTAAAGCAGCTGGAACTGATGGGATCATGACAGAAATGTTAAAAGCAGGGGGAGATATAGTGTTGGAGTGGTTGGTACTTTTGTATGAAAGAGGGGAAGGTACCTAGGGATTCGCGGAGGGCATGTATAGTCCCTTTATATAAAGGGAAAGGGGACAAAAGAGATTGTAAAAATTATAGAGGAATAAGTTTACTGAGTATACCAGGAAAAATGTACTGTAGGGTTATGATTGAAAGAATTAGAGGTAAGACAGAATGTAGGATTGCGGATGAGCAAGGAGGTTTCAGAGTGGGTAGGGGATGTGTAGATCAAGTGTTTACATTGAAGCATATATGTGAACAGTATATAGATAAAGGTAGGGAAGTTTTTATTGCATTTATGGATTTAGAAAAGGCATATGATAGAGTGGATAGAGGAGCAATGTGGCAGATGTTGCAAGTATATGGAATAGGTGGTAAGTTACTAAATGCTGTAAAGAGTTTTTATGAGGATAGTGAGGCTCAGGTTAGGGTGTGTAGAAGAGAGGGAGACTACTTCCCGGTAAAAGTAGGTTTTAGACAGGGATGTGTAATGTCACCATGGTTGTTTAATATATTTATAGATGCGGTTGTAAAAGAAGTAAATGCTAGGGTGTTCGGGAGAGGGGTGGGATTAAATTATGGGGAATCAAATTCAAAATCGGAATTGACACAGTTACTTTTTGCTGATGATGCTGTGCTTATGGGAGATTCTAAAGAAAAATTGCAAAGGTTAGTGGATGAGTTTGGGAATGTGTGTAAAGGTAGAAAGTTGAAAGTGAACATAGAAAAGAGGTATCAAATGATTTAGATAAAGAAAAATTGGATATCAAATTGGGGAGGAGGAGTATGGAAGAAGTGAATGTTTTCAGATACTTGGGAGTTGACGTGTCGGCGGATGGATTTATGAAGGATGAGGTTAATCATAGAATTGATGAGGGAAAAAAGGTGAGTGGTGCGTTGAGATATATGTGGAGTCAAAAAACGTTATCTATGGAGGCAAAAAAGGGAATGTATGAAAGTATAGCAGTACCAAACTCTTATATGGGTGTGAAGCTTGGGTGGTAAATGCAGCAGCTAGGAGACGGTTGGAGGCAGTGGAGATGTCCTGTCTAAGGGCAATGTGTGGTGTAAATATTATGCAGAAAATTCGGAGTGTGGAAATTAGGAAAAGGTGTGGAGTTAATAAAAGTATTAGTCAGAGGGCAGGAGAGGGGTTGTTGAGGTGGTTTGGTCATTTAGAGAGAATGGATCAAAGTAGAATGACATGGAAAGCATATAAATCTATAGGGGAAGGAAGGCGAAGTAGGGGTCGTCCTCGAAAGGGTTGGAGAGAGGGGGTAAAGGAGGTTTTGTGGGCGAGGGGCTTGGACTTCCAGCAAGCGTGAGTGAGCGTGTTAGATAGGAGTGAATGGAGACGAATGGTACTTGGGACCTGACGATCTGTTGGAGTGTGAGCAGGGTAATATTTAGTGAAGGAATTCAGGGAAACCGGTTATTTTCATATAGTCGGACTTGAGTCCTGGAAATGGGAAGTACAATGCTTGCACTTTAAAGGAGTGGTTTGGGATATTGGCAGTTTGGAGGGATATGTTGTGTATCTTTATGCGTATATGCTTCTAAACTGTTGTATTCTGAGCACCTCTGCAAAAACAGTGATAATGTGTGAGTGTGGTGAAAGTGTTGAATGATGATGAAAGTATTTTCTTTTTGGGGATTTTCTTTCTTTTTTGGGTCACCCTGCCTCGGTGGGAGACGGCCGACTTGTTGAATATATATATATATATATATATATATATATATATATATATATATATATATATATGTGTGTGTGTGTGTGTGTGTGTGTGTGTGTGTGTGTGTGTGTGTTGTGTGTGTGTGTGTGTGTGTGTGTGTGTGTGTGTGTGTGTGTGTGTGTGTATATAACCACTGAATTTTATTGAGTTTTATTAACATTTGTGTGAGTATGTAATAACATTGATATACATGTGTGTTAGTCATAAGACTAAGTCTACTGACTCCTTATTAGAGTCGCCGTTGATGTAGAAGTAGAGATTCTATTGAACCTAATGGCTGGGTCTCGGTGATTTTAGTCCTTGGACGCTGATGACGACTGTCAACTGATCTGGAAGACACAGGCGCTATGGCTTTAGCACGACAGGTCGCAGTGAACGGTGGTGTCTAGTGCCGCGTTGCACAAAAGTGGTGTGGTCAGTGGCTATTGATCAGGATGCGTGAATAGAGTCTTCCTTCCGGTGTGCAACGATGATGACACTTCTCCAAACTTCAATAAGGCAGTCAGTTCTTGTAGCGCCACCCGTGAATCTGGGCCTCAGCCCAGAGTGCTGGGGTAAGCTTAAGCTTGGTATAAACCTTGGTAATAAATACCGACAAGTTGGTTTAGAAAGACACGTAAGCAAACACTATAACATATTTATTAGAAAACGTTTCGGTCCTGGGACCTTGATCACTTCTAACATGTTAGAAGTGATCAAGGTCCCAGGACCGAAACGTTTTCTAATAAATATGTTATAGTGTTTGCTTACGTGTCTTTCTAAACCAAGCTTAAGCTTGCTCACCACCTCCTGTTGGTGGTTGAAGACGAAACGGCACAGACAAAACAATTAAGGTAAGAGGGCACTTAAAAAAAATCATACCACGGGCGGGGATAGAATCATGAGTTCTCTCCCCACCCATAGTACGGTTTGTTTGCAATCGTGTCATTACGATTTCGTGAGTCAAGAGGACACTTCTTTGTAAACAAAACTTCATTTCAAGACAATGCTTCGCCCTCACAAGAGGTTTTATCATGTCATTAACGTGATAAAGCAAATATCACCCTCTTACAGTGCTATATTTGTCTAGAATCTTGCCATTCTTCTAGAGACAAATGTCGGATATAGTGAAGGAGACTTCAATGAAGTGAAATACCTATCAGCGACGAGAATTCTCATTCCTCCTCAGTAAGAAGAGTATAATGAAAGGAAAATCGGTAAACAAAATAATTAAGAAGGAAAAGAAAACGAAGAACCAAATGGAAGAGATGAAGAGAGAGACGAGAAGTACAGTAAAATACAAAACAAATAAAACTGGTAGAAAAGGAGTAACAATGAGAGAGAGTGAGAAGGAGAGAGAAAGAGAGATCTCTAAGTGTAGTTCTCAATGGAACGGAATCAGCAAGACATCCTATTGGGGCAAGTGTTCCACAAGGAAGCGTGCTGGGTCCATTGTTATGGAATGTCTACTTCAACGACCTTCTTCATCTCATCCCAGAATCACATGCATATGCAGACGACTGTACACTGACATTCACTTATCCAAGAGAAGAAATGCCAGCTGCTCTAAGCTACATCATCTACATCAATCACCAGCTGAGAGCTATATCAGCTTGGGGAAATAGATGGCAGGTAACATTTGCACCTGAGAAAACGCAAATGATGATCGTCTCTAGGCACCATGATGGTAATGCTGGTGCAGTAGTAAGGATGAATGGGAGGGTGTTGGCACCTGGAGAAGAAGTTGATATCCTTGGGGTGAAATTTGACTCCAAACTAACCATGAATAACCATGTTGTAAATCTTGCAAACAAGGCAGCCAGGAAGCTTACAGCACTTCGCCGTATCTCGCATCTGCTTGACAGTAGGGGTTGCAAGATTCTGTACGAGGCACAAGTACGCTCACACCTTGAGTATGCTCCACTTTCTTGGTTTGCCTGCCCCCCCTCTCATCTGCGACTGCTTGACAGAGTAGAGAACAGAGCAAGACGTCTCATCTCTCGCCTGGACCCATCTTGGATAGATCTGTCATTTCAGCAGAGCCTTCAACATAGGAGGGATGTGGGTGGCCTTACTGTTATGTACAAGGCCAATATTGTCAAAATACCACACTTGGATCCACTTCGAGGACAGCATGAAACAAGCTTTTATGCCACAAGACGGGCAGAAAGCAGCAACTTCACTCTGGCTGTACCCTTCTCCAGAACATCACTCCATCTGAGATCATACATACCCAGGATGACTCGAGTATGGAACACATTCGTAGAGCATAATGATGTCAACGAGATAAAGTCAGTTGATCAAATGAAAATGCTGGCCCACAGATGGCTCCAATTTCATCCTGTTCCCTACTTGTATGTCTCATAACAATAAAAATGCTTTCAAATGAGCTGATGTAGGTAACAGCTCTTAGCTTGCCAATAAAGTTAGGAATCCTTAACCTGTAAATAGCTGTCAATAAAGCTAGGGATCCTTAACCTTGTCAAACCCTGTGTAAAAAAAAAAAAGAAAGAGAGAGAGAGAGAGAGAGAGAGAGAGAGAGAGAGAGAGAGAGAGAGAGAGAGAGAGAGAGAGAGAGAG